TAAATTGCAAAGTATATAAGAATGTAATAATGATTATGAATGAAATAAATTGATTGATTGATTGATTGATTGATTACAGTGACGATGATGACGTCATACTTATCAGGATATTGATTTGTCTTTTTGGGGTGCGAAAGATTATTGTTTTGGCTGCATTTCTTGTTGAAATAAAATCGTTATAAATTCAAAATTCGTTTCGTCGCTAATTCCCGTCATTGAAAATCGATAAAATATAGTCAAATCTCTTACCAAAACACCCATCAATATCGCCACACCATATATTTCGAGTGAAAAGCGAATTTGTTGTACATCACAGCACGATCAGCGATACCAAACACAACGATCAAAATTCCCAAAGTGATTTGAGCGCAGGCAGAATAGAGAATGTACTTAAAGCCAGAGCCCATGATGGAATTAGACCAAGAAATGCCGAAAGTAAACTCTTAAAAGTTCGATAAACACTTGACAACAGCGAAGACTCGTTTCAAGTCCACTCGAACAGATTACATCACAGCGGCTAGTCAGTCGGTCAAGTAAAACCATAATTGGATTTGTTTTTGGCGCTCGTGGAAACAAAAGTAGCAAATTTAAGATATACAATTTTGTCTACTTTTAAAACCACCGCGCACTTTTGACTTTCTTTTTCTTTTATTTCATCTTTTATAATCCCGCCAATCAGGAACAGTGTACGAAATACCCTTTTAACCAATCCGGTATCGTTTTATATCTGGAAGGTTCCTTGGAATCACAAACAATCACATGATTTGATCATGAGCTAGTGGATATTTTGTAAATTTGACATCGACAGCAAGCGACAATGGTACAAAAGACTGTTTCATTGTTTAGATATATGCTTGACATTAGCATCGCTGTTTAAAAGAGATATCGAATCAAATTATGGAATTTTTTTGCAGGGTTCCGAAGGGGAAAGAAAGGAATATCTGTTCAAAGTTCTGGTAATTGGTGATCTTGGTGTAGGAAAGACAAGTATTATCAAAAGATATGTGCATCAGTTCTTTTCTGTTCATTATAGAGCAACTGTATCCTTGATTTTTACAGATATCCTTGAACATGACACGATCATTCAATTGGGATAGGAGGGGGAATATATATACAATTCCTAAATAGTGCACAGCAAACTTCAAATTGTGCTTCCTGCATTAGCCCAAAATGCATTTGCATTGTTGTAGATATATCTGATATATCACAATATAAGTTATTAGTTGTTAGCTAAGTTAGGTAAAGCATGAGAAACAAGCTTCTAGATTTTTGTGGTCAAACGATGTATAAAGAATTCTATGCGTCACGTTTGATTGATAAATTAAGAGGCTTACAACTGCATATCGTAGTTTTGTTCCTGATTGACGTCATAGCGGACTTTATGTTCTTGGAAATTGCGAACAAAAAATCACTCTCTACATTATTATGCATGGCAATGAATGAAACTGCCACTG